TTCCCAGAACATGTCCCCATCATTAGGTGAGACACGACTGTATGTATGTTTACACAAATGTATATGTTCACGTTATAAATAAATATGTCTCTTTTCCCTGGAGGACTCTAATACAGATTTTGGTTCCAAGGAAGGTTCTAGAGGAATAGAATCTTAAAGATGTGTTTTCTGAAATGGTTCTCGGGTTTCTGGAATTGGTCCTCTAATCTGATTATATTGAAAGGCACCAGAGACCCTATTTCCAGTGTTAAAGAGGATGCTGACAATTGATGGCAGGCTGTGGCAGCAGAGATACACAAAATACCAGCACCGGAGATTCCTAACCAAATGTTTATAAAAGGGAAAGTTCTCAGTGATCATGTATTTGATACGTTAATCATTCTTGACAAATTAACAAATGTAATGAAATCGGCTAGCTGTTCCTAATTGCACTTGATTAAATGAGAAAAGAAAATGATGAGCACAGGGTGTCAAATTCCCAGGTCAGCTCAACCACCATAACTGACCTGAAGTGTCTGTACCTTCCCTGAAACAAACCCTTATTTCTTGTAGCTTCAGAGCTGAGATTTCTGAAAACCTAACCCGGAGTCTCTTCCTGCAAGCGGCTGAATTACAACACAGGCTGAATCCCCATGGGCACAGTGGTGAAAGTGATGGCATTGATTTAGTAGTGACTGGGTCCTGAAAACTGGAAAGGGAACATAAGTCAGCTCCCGATTCACCTGGAACATTTAACTCACTCCCACATGGCACAGAGTTGGCCTTGTCAGTGGAAGCGGCCCTCCTCCTCCTGTCTGAGGACGTGAACTCTGCTTTTCCTGGGGATCCTGTCATCATGTCCCCTGAGGTCATTGCCTGGCAAGACACTGCTGACCCTCCTCAGGACCTACACCCACCAGCCTTGGTGCTTCTAGAGTAAGACTCAGTCGAGGTGAACTTGACTCCTGGCAGGTCCCAAAGCATGAGCTACAAAAGGGGACCCATGAGGAATTGTGCTACACTCCAAAATTACCACATCCTTTTCCTAGTACACACAGACAGAAACCTGGGACAACCGTGAAGAAGTGGGCTATTAGAGGGTTGGGATATGGTGGAAACGTCACACAGTTGATTCGGTGGAATGAATTGATTTGGCCCCACTCAGCAGAGGTTCTCTATTCAATGTTGTGTCTTGAGGGGGTACAAGGAGTTCCAACAGTCTGATGAGTTGACTGGCTCTAACGTGGACCAAAATGTGGAGAGCACAAGATAACATGGAACGTCCTTGGTGTGCTGAAGAAAAAAAGGATCAAAATAATCATTCAAAAGCAGCTCAGAAAGCTGAACAACTCAATGAAATGAGGGGGAAAAGACAAGAACAAAACAAAAAGTTCAAAGACAGGAAACATAAAAACATTTAAAAAACCCCCAAATTTTGGAGATGAAAGTGTAAAAAACAGAAGATTGAAATGTGACCCTCACTGCAAATATGGGTCTCTTCTGGGTGACTATCTGCACTTTTGGCCAGTGGAAGCTCAAAGATGCACTAAATTGTCCCTCCTCTGCCACAGCTGTATCCACAAGACTTACTAACTGTTGCTACCTGCCGGGTCGGCTCTCAGGAGCATCCCAGTGCTGGAGGAGACACTCTTGGGACACCCGTGCCTTCATCCCGGCCCTGGACTAGCCCTGAGACCTGCCACGACTCTTTCTCCCTGGAGGGACAGCACAGCCTTCCCCACCTTCCTCTAGCAAGTCTCTTTCCTGGCTGGCTGTGTCGCATCAGGAAGGCCCTGGACCGTCGGGAACCAGGATTGATCCTCAGCTTCTGGCTGTCCTCACAAGCCCTCCCTGGCAGAGTCCAGCTGGCTGTGTGTCCAGGTGACACTTGCAGCCGTCAGGAAGAAGGGGATAACTCAGAAGTGTCAAGCGATTCATCTGGCCCTTGTCTTTCAGGGTGTTTCCAGGGGATGAGGTTCAAATGGCTGGGTGGTAACCCTTTAGCTCCTGGTTCTGGAGCGGTTCTCAGGTTGAGCTCAGAGCGTGTCTGTGTGCCACCCAGATGGGAAATGTTTTAGCTTTCACTTGGTAAAGCTGTGTCCACGCACGTCCATGGATCATCAGTTTGGCGGCATTCCCTGCAGGACCTCCAGCTCACACCCTTCTTAGGCCTCCTCTTTCACAGCTCCCAACAGGAAAGTCGCACACTCCCATGACAGAACCACAGCACAAGACTGTGGAAAAGAACACAGCCAGCCAAGGGGCTACCAGCTACCACTTTAGGAAACGTCAGTAAAAATACACCAGAGTGTGTAAACTGGTGACTGTCTGAGACTATGAATCTCAGAACCACCCAGACCCAGATGTCACCCTGGGCAGCAAGGGAGACTGTGGGGTCATACACTGGTCAGCCTATGGTCTGTTAAGCTGGCAAACCAGAGCTCACCTGGGATCCATCAGGCCCAGCCAGGGAGGAGTGGCCATGAGGGACCTGACAAAAAGGCTAGGGGCGTCTAGAGAATGTCTGCTCTGAGAAAGAATTGTATGAAGAAGTACAGTTATGCTGAAAATCCTAGCTCACAGGGAGCACCAGGGTTATGGAGGGAGACCCGGCTGTGGCCTTAAAAGCTGCATCACAAATCTGTCACAGACCAGAATCCCAGTAGGATTAAGTCTAGGTCAAGGGTGAACAGGGAGCCCCTAGAGGGGCTGGAGGAGGCAGAGTCCTGCCCACCCTTAGTCCATCCGCGCAGGACCTTCCTCTGGCCTCGTCCTCTCCACGTGCACATTTTGAGCTTTTTACATTATTTTCCCCATTTAAAGCTGATGCAAATTCAGAGACCAAATCAGAAAACAGCAAGTTCCTAATCTTTGCAAAAGAGAAACCAGGACAATGTTCCCTCCTCCTCCAAGTGCAGAAAGGCCGTCACCGTCCTGGGCAGGACATGTGCCAGGGCCAGGCAGGTGCTAGTTTTAAAGACGCCTCTATCTCAGTGTTTGCTGCTTTGCCTGAGAAAGTCCTTCCAACCTCTCAGTCCACGGAGATCTGCGGGGCCGTCTCTGCTCCTGGACCAGGGGCACCTCACTGCAATGAACCTGTCCTCTGAGGAAGAGGGCCTGGGGGTGTCCTTCAGTAGGCAGGGAGGAAACTGGCCCTTCTCCCTTCTCCACATACACTGAGCTGATGACTCTGCGAGGTTCCTAAATCAATGAGGAATGTGAGATTCTGGATCTCGTTTCCAGGAACGCAGAGAGTCAAAGAACCACACCAGCACTCCCAGGCTGAGAAGGAAACAGGCATTTAATATAACATTCAAACGCAGCATTTACAACTGACGACAGAAATATGGCCCCTCCAAAGAGGTAAATAGGCACTAGGGAAAAGGTGTGAGGGAGATAGGGGGGTCATGGCCTCCCTTGTCGCCTTCAGGGGACCCCTGGGAAAAGGTTCACAAAGTTCTCCCCATCAGAATGGAAGGAGGTGGCCCTCTGCACCCTGAGTGTCCCAGCTGTGTTCCCTGCTGAGGAAAAGGCTGTAGTTCAGCTGGTCTCAGGAGGGTCATCTGCCACCGCCACTGGGCTCTTTGTTGGGGGCCTGGTGTCTGGATAAAGAGAAGCATTACCTGGCGGCCTGCCCCAGAATCACAGCCCGCCCTCCCCTCCCCGCCCCCACTGCACTCTGTGCTCCAGCCCTGTGCTGAGTGCTAAGTCAGGCAGGGACAGCCACCAGCTTTGGCTTTTTGTCTCCCCTGGAGTCAATTCGAATCACGTGCCTAATGAGTGCTAAGACTGTTGAGGCCACCTGGGCAGATGGGGGATCTACCCAAGGACCTGGCAGCACTTCAGTGAGCTCCCCTCCCCTACCAAAGGGCCAGACTGTGCCCAACTTCTTCTGTTCCGCCTCCACCCTGTGCAGCAGGTGCTCTTAGTGTCCATCTCTACTGTCCCCGCGGGGACAGCAAGTGCTTGGGGGTAAAGAAAGCTGCCCAGGTCACAGTGTTGGTGAGGGAGGGAGCAGGGATTTGAAGCCAGATTATCGGGTTCCAGATCAGGGAATGGCAGGTGTGGGGCAGCTCAGGCACATGGCAGCAGGGCCCACCCCCACTGCCAGCCCCGCTGCTCACCACAGCCATCCTCGTCAGCTGCTCTGCCACCAGCTGGGGAGGGAAGTCCAAGAGGTTTGGCATCTCCTCCCTCAGCTGGTTCTTGGTGGTCACAGCCTAGGGCCAGGCGGGTTCTGGGGCTGGATCCAGCATGATCGTTATTTGTGCAGATGGAACTGGAAATGTCACTAGAGCCCGGAGTCCAGTTGGCTCCAGCAAAGGAGCTGGCTCTGGGGCTGAAGTTAATGGTGGCCCTAACTCCAGTCCTGGAAGGGCCGACGCAGGTGATGCTGGCTCCAGCTCTCCCACAGGTGGTGGGACTTGAGCTGGACCTGTCTCTAGCCCGGGAGCTGGCCCTTGCTCTGGCTCTGGAAGTGGCAGGAGCTCTGGAGCTGGCTCTGGAGCAGGATAAAGAGAAAGTTTCACCCACATACCTGACATTTCCTGTGCCTTTCCAAAGACAGGAAAGACTCCACTGCCTTTAAGAGAACTCCAGCCCATGAACCCCTGCACAGACTGTCTTCCCAGTCTGTAGTCCCCTCACCTACCCACTCTGCCTCAATGGACTCGAGATGCTCCAGCTCAACTGGGAAAAGATAGGCATGGCCCTCCAGGTCTGAGCCACTGTATGCAGGAGAGAAACGGCTGAGGACTGGACCACGGGGCTTGGGGAATTGAAAAAAAGTGCAAGCTGCTGGTGGCAAGGCAGACATACTCTTTATGTGCTCTGGCAGACAGATGGAGGGAGCACCGCAGCTCCCCTTGTGGCCACTTTTTTTTTTTTTTTTTAAAGATTTTATTTTTTCCTTTTTCTCCCCAAAGCCCCCCCGGTACATAGTTGTGTATTGTTCGTTGTGGGTTCTTCTAGTTGTGGCATGTGGGACGCTGCCTCAGCGTGGTCTGATGAGTAGTGCCATGTCCACGCCCAGGATTCGAACTAACAAAACACTGGGCCGCCTGCACGGAGCGCGCGAACTTAACCACTCGGCCACGGGGCCAGCCCCCCCTTGTGGCCACTTTTAAATGACTACTAGACAAAAGTGGCAGATAGCCAGCAGACAATGTTTACATTATGCAGGTTACATAAGGTGTTTACATACATGGTTGGCACATGCACTGCCTGCAGGGGACATGCTGAGTCACAGATGCCCAGAAGCTGCTCCGGTCTGATTGTCCACAGTACCTCCATTTCCCTTCCCTCCACCCCCATCAGACCTCAGCAGTGGGGGGAGTTTGCAGGAGGCACGGGCACACAGCCCAATGCCTTGGACCTACATTCCACAACAGCAATACAGAGAACAGCAAATGACCATCAGGAGACAGGATATACCTCCTAATGTGGTCAGAGCCCACCGCCACGAGGAGGACAACTTAGATCACTGTTCCTGCAGGGGGTCTCCTGTCAACGTCTGGATCCACGAGATCTTGTGCCTGGCCTATCGCAAGGCTTGCGATATGTTCCTTGCACTATCTTGTATAAACGTGCAACATTGCACCTCAGTAACTGCACAGGTCCCCCTTTGTGCTGCAGTAAGGATGTCTAGAGCCATGCGGTTCTGCAGCACGACCTTCCGGGTCTGGTCTACTCCATCAGTTAAGAGAGACAGGGCCCAGGCTGTATGACTGAGGGCTCGGGCGTTTTGCTCTGTCAAGGCAGTAACCTGCCACTCCATAGCAATAGCCCCCGCGGACTAAGAACAGCCAGGACGTAAACCCACCAGGGCATTCATTTCTCCCAGTGACAGTGCCCTTTTACCCTCTCCCAATTGCTGGGTCGCACATCCAAAGTTCTCCGAACAGCAGCTGCGAGGTAGGGCCACCCCCAAGTGCATCACCCTGTCCAGTTGGCCAGGAGATAAGGCCATTCATAACTACCACAGACCCAGAGACTGCCCGTGGGCACTCTGTCCATGGGGATTGTCCCTACATAGGGATGGGCATTCCACCAATACTTGGGCTGGGTCACTCCCTGGATCTTCTGACACAGCTCCTTGGGTACCTATCCTGCTATCACATCCCCCTTCTGTTGCTCTATGCATGGGGGCACAGACACGCAGAGCACAACAGCCTCCCCGCATAACCACCCATAGTCATCCCAGAGGCTCGGGGTCACCCAGGGCCGTTTTCGTCCATGTTGTCAGCACAGCTACTGGTCCACCTGGTGCCTTCTTTGGTCCCACTGAGCATCAGCAGGTCCTCAGGAACACAGCCAGGTCCGGTTCCCTTCTGAAGCAGGGTGGATGTGTCACAGCGAGCCTTCTGCCATGCTGGTGGGCAGTTCTGTGCACACCCAGCAGTTAGATATGTTGGTCACCTCAGCTAGGTGTGTGCCCATTCCACAACACTGTTCGCCACACTCCGTCTATGGGCGAAAGGACAAAGCAGTGATAGGAACTAGGAGAAGCCAATCACGTCCTTCAGTCAGAACACAGGCTAGCCACTTATCCTGAGACAAGAGGGTGGCTGCCAACGGGGGCTGTCCCAGCCGATGATACCACACCTTTCCTGCCTGCAGAGGCACTGCAAGAGCTGGCTCCACATGCAGCAGGACAGGGGAACTCGTTATTGGCCACATGGAAATCACATATGTTCCCTTCAGGACAGAACCGGCATCGGTCTGTGGCAGCCTGACAGTTACTTGAGGGGTCCAAGTCCTAGTCACCCACAAGGTGACAAGTCTTGTTGTTCCCCAAGTCCCCAGGGTGCTCAAGGCGCCAGCTGCTTGCCGTGAGGGGCTTTTATCTTCAAGGCCATTCCCATTCTCGTTCTTCCCCCATGTTGAGACATGTTGGGGCCGGCAAAAGAATGTTTCCATTTCGGCTGTAGCCAGGCTTTGGTAACTCATCCGTGGTCACTGCTTGCAGCTGTGTGGGGGCTGTGACACAGCAATGCCTCTATGGGAGTTGGCCCTCCCTTTTGAGGCTGTTCATTGAACACCATCAGCACCTGCCGCAACCGAGTTGCCCAGCCTCCCAGGGAGGAAGGCTGCATGGCTGTGTCTGAGCCCTGCTTTAAAAGCCCCTTATACCTTCCTATCATCCCGGCAGCAGCCGGGTTACAAGGAGTATGGAAAAGCCGTTGAACATCCATGGTGCTGGCCCACCGTTGGACTTCTTGTCCTGTAAAATGTGTCCCCTTGTCGCTCTCCACGACCAAGGGTCAACCATAAAAGGCACAGAGTACCTGCAGGGCCTGAAGTGTCTGCCTCTGATCTGTGGCTGCACAGAGCCATGCAAAGAGGGAACCGGTGGCCTTATCGACAGCCGTAGAGGCGTACACAGCGCCTTTGGTCTTTGGTAATGGTCCGATGTAGTCCACCTGCCGTCAGACCAAGGGCACACGCCCTCCAGCTACTTGCTGCTGTGTGGACACTGGTTTCCTTCTATTAGGAAAGGCCTGGGCACATACAGCACATTCTTTACATGTTGTCATTATTTGTTGCCACGTGAGGGGTACCCCCCAGTGTTACTCACTGTTCCCACGGTCTTGCTCCCTGCATGATTTAGGCGTTGATGTAGCCAGTGTGCCACATCTGCAGACGGGGCCCTTTCCAGCCACCTCATATGGGCCAGAGCATCAGCCTCATCGTTCCCAGGAGCAGTCAGAGTCATATGGCCAGGAACATGATACACTGTCACCTCTTTTCCATGGCCCAAGGCCCACAGTTCCTGCCTCATGGCCTGCCCACACATGGGGCGGTTTCTGGACAACCATTGCTGAGCCTGCCACATGGATAACCACAGAGTCAATCCTCGGTACACTGCCCAGCTCTCTGTACAAACAGCTAAGGGCCCTGGTTCATGGGTGATAGCCATCCAGACAGCCCATAATTCTGCCCACTGGCTGCTTTGGCCGGTGCCAGTATCAAACCAAATGGTATCAGTGCTTGGCTGCATAGCTATGGCTGTCCACATAGCAGCCGGTCCTCTACTAGAACCGTCAGTGTACCAAGCATCCTCCAGGATGGGAGCTTCCCCTCAGCACAGGGCATGGGCTCTATGCCTACAGGAGCCATAGGAGTCTGTTCCCCCACAGCAAGGAACTCAATCGACCCTAACACCCGCTGTAGCTCCATACTCAGGGGGCTGGAGCTCACCGAGCTCCTTTGTTCTAAATAAGCCCCCCACTGTGACAAGGTAGGGGTCTGGGCCATGCCAGACTGTGGACGGGTAGCCCATGACCAGAGCCATCCTGGAATAGGGGACATGGTTCTAAGCTGAACAGGGGCCATTCGTGTGATAGCCTCACACACTATCAGGGTGGCATAGGCGGCTGCCAACTGTTTCCCCACTAGAGAACATTGTATTTCCGCTCCTTCCCGTAGTTGGAACAAGAACCCGACAGGGGCTCGTACCCAGTGGTGCCGCTGCCACAGGCCCCAGCCAAAACCTCCTGGTAACATGGACGTCCAATTCATATGGCTGTCCTGGGTCAGCCACCTGTAAAGCTTGTGCCTGCTGCACAGCACTCTTGGCAGCCTTAAACGCTTGGTCTGCAGCATCTGTCCAGTCCCACAGGGCTCCCTTCTTTACCACAGCATTTAGGGGCCTCACCACCTGGGCTAAATGAGGGATAAACACTCGCAAGTGCCCCAACAGGCCCAGAAATGTTTGCAATTGAGCTACAGTTGTTGGCAGGGGGTACGCCTGTATTTTGTCAATGACTGCTTCAGGTATCACCCTAGTCTTACCTGACCAGACAGCCCCCAAGAATTTGACAGATAAGCCAGGTCCCCGGACTTTGGCATCATTGGCTGCCCAGCCACGTTGCCAGATGCTTCCACAGGGAATCAGGAGCCTGCTGTAGATCTGCAAGAGTCGGAGGTTAACATAACATCATCAATATAGTGAAATACAAGCACTGTATCACTGTGAGTCCAAGCAGCTAAATCCTGAGCCATGAGCCATGACAAATAGTGGGGCTAGGCAGGTACCCTTGTGGCCACACACAAAATGTCCACTGTCTGCCATCCCAGGTGAAGGCAAGCTCATCTTGACTCTCAGCGGGAATATCGTTGGAAAAGCAGGGTCCACAGCATAGTGGTACTGTCCCAAGTGGACTGTCAGTCTATCCATTATGTCATGCACTGAGGGCTCAGCAGCATGCAATGGAGGAGTCGCTGTATTTAATTCCCAGTAATCCACAGTCATACGCCATGTGCTGTCAGCCTTCCTCACTTGCCAAACCAGGGAATTATAAGGGCTTTGGGTGGATTGCACGATCCTAGCCTCTTCTACTTTTGCAATGGTCTGTGCGATCTCCTCATGTCCACCTGTGAGGCAATACTGTCGGGTGGTCACTACATGTCGTGGCACCGGCAACACTTGCAGCGGGTGGTGTGTATGCCCCTGGATGACGGACTTTAACCACATGCACCCGTAGGCAGAACTCGCCCATGGTCATCTGCAGGCGCAGTCCTGGCAAGACGTCTACCCCCAGAACATACTCGGGGATAGGAGACACATACACTGTGTACACTAGGGGCAGCAAACAGCCAATGCCAAGGGACAGAGACACTGGCTTCAATTTCACAGTATGGCCTCCAAGCCATCAACATATGCCGGCTTCCCTGGAAATTTATCCGGGTTGCCATAAATCAGACTACACTCGGCTCCAGTATCTACCAATACCAGTGCACGCTGCACATTGGTGGGGGACCGGTAAATCGCAAGTTCCACACGTGGCTTCCAGTCCTCCGGGGATCCCCCAATCCAGGCACTCCGGCCTTTCCCCTAGTCAAAGAGGTACATGGACTCCTCACCTCAGGGCTGCGTAAAGTCCTGGAGGCTTACTTGCCTGTTCTTGCTGGGATTCTTTCGCCTTTCCACAGTCTTTTAGAACTGTTGCTCAGGCTTCAACTGGTGCCACAGCACCACCAAGACAGCATTCGGCTGCCAGTTATTTTCATCTGATCAATGCCTGAGGCTAGCAGGTCTACCCACTTTTACATGCAGGTAACTTGTTTAGGCCCTTTCTCTGCCAAGCCTGCTCTCAGCTTTGGCACCACTCACCATGCAACACGCTTGGTTTTCTCCTTCTGTCAGCCTGCTACATCCCCCAAAGTGGCCATTGCAGTGGTTACCTCATGGCCACCAAGGACCCAAAAGCATTAGACGGGGCTGAGTTAAGGACCAAGTCCTTCATCCTGGACGTAAAGCACTCATCATTGGGCCCCCGGGTATGAAGGTTAAAAGTGGCTTGCCACATTTCCAACTCACGGATAACTGCACCAGTTCCGCATAGGTCTGCCATCGGCTCACTGTCTCCAGGAGCTCCCCGGCGTTATCCCACACAGTCCGGGCGGCAGCTGTCACCCACTCCATCATGGAGTGATTTCCCTGCCCTTGGCCTAGCTGGCAGCTATTCTGGAACCACTGCCAAAGGGAGGGGGCAACATGATGGAGGCCAGCTTCTCCATCTCGTCAGAAGTACAGATTATACTATCCGCCCCCTCATCCCATAGCCACAGGAGCCAGGCCAGTCTGGGCTCACCTGGCTGTTGCCTGCACTGCTTACACAGGTCCCACAGTTCCATTGGCGTATAAGGGGACTATGCCATGAACTCTGTCACGATCGAGGCTCCTTGGGCGACACCTCCTAGACCCAAGGGCTGCTCATGCTTTACCTTTTGCTGGATTACTGGCCAAGCATGGAGAGGGCATGTTTCCTCCACGTCCTCATCCTCTGCAGTCCCCAACCTCAATGTCCTCCGCTGTCTCACTGCGAGGCACCATTTCCAGCTCCAGTTCCGACTGCCACACCTGCACCTCCAAGGCATGCTCCTTGGCTTGGAGTTCCTGTATGCAGGTTGCATACTGCAGGGCAGAATCCATGTTGCGGCATAACGCTGTCAAAAACAGCCAGCCGGCCCCATGGCAGGCTGGGCCTTCTCTGGGACCTGCTCCCCTAGGCTATGCAGAGCCGTCTCAGTGCTGACTGGGGTACCATCCACAGACTCCCATCCTTCTGCAGGAGCCCAATTCAACAGGACCTCCACCACCAGGAACCACATACTAGTGGGTGGCCACATGTCCGTCCCGTCAGCCTTAGGAGCCATAGGTCCACTCACCCCAGAATCTGTCTGACTAGGTCAATTGTAAGCAGGAGAAAAACAGCCAAGGACTGGACTATGGGGCTTGGGGAATTGAAAAAGGTGCAAGGTGCTGGCACAGTGGCACAGTGGTTAAGTGTGCACGTTCCGCTTCCACAGCCCAGGGTTCACCAGTTCAGATCCTGGGTGCAGCCACGGTACCGCTTGGCAAGCCATGCTGTGGTAGGTGTCCCACATATAAAGTAGAGGAAGATGGGCACAGAAGTTAGCTCAGGGCCAGTCTTCCTCAGCAGAAAGAGGAGGATTGGCAGCAGATGTTAGCTCAGGGTTAATCTTCCTCAAAACTAAAAAAAAAAAAAGAACAGAAAAGAAAAAAGGTGAGAGCAGCCAACGGCAAGGGAAACATACTCTTTATTTACTCTGGCCCACAGATGGTGGGAGCACAGCAGCTCCCCTTGTGGCCACTTTTAAATGAATACTAGACAAAAGTGGCATACAGCCAGCAGATGACACACAATGTTTACATTATGCAGGTTACGTAAGGTGTTTACATACATGGTTGGCGCGTGCACTGCCTGCAGGGGACATGCTGAGTCACATCTGCACTGAAGCTGCTCCAGTCTGATTGTCCACAGTACCTCCATTTCCCTTCAGCCACCCAAGCTGACATGAACAATGGCCAGCTTCACTGTCAAACAGGGAAAGTGCAGGCGCTCCCAGAAATCCTGCCCTTGGTCCAGCCAGCTTCCCACCATAAAAGAGATAGCACTGAGGGGCAGCAGATGGGCAGCAGAGTCAGAGACCTGGCCTTTCTTTCCACACTGCCCTCCTGAAGCACCCTTGTTTGGATCTGGACCCCTGTACCTGCCCCTTCTCCTCCAGAGGAGGGCCCCATCCCAGCCCTGAACCCTGTGTGGCTGTCCTGGCAGTGGCAGGCCTGCTCATCCAGCAGGTTGAACACAGAGTCTGTGGGAGTCTCTTGTTCCCACTGACACTCTTCTCCCAAAGGGCCTGGATACAGCCCACCCCAGCCCTCCATGCACAAGGGCCACTAGACTGAAGACTCAGGCAGATTTGTGAGCAACTTTATCATGCACCTCCTGCTCTGGACCTGGTGGTGGTGGCCAAAAGGGGTGGATGTGGAGAAAGGGAGGCAGAGTGAGATGAGACTCTGGTGGGGATGGGTCTCTAGGGAACAACTAAGCCCAGCTTCCCTTCTGGTTCCCAGGGGGCCTGAGACCCATCCACAGCTCTCTTTGACTCCTGTCCTCCTGGAGTGGAAGCCGCCAGAACTCAGCCCTCCCATAAGAATCAAAAGATGAGTGAGATGCAGGGTTCTGCTAGGCCTGCCAAAGCCACAGCCCCATACTCTCCCTCAAACATGTTCTCTAGAGACAGGAGGCCCTCCTTCTTCACCCAAAGACCACTCACTTTTTCAGGTGGTCTTGTGGTCCATCATCCCACTCACAATGTGGGAAGATGCCTCCATATGTCTAAGAAGATACAAGGGCATCACACGGTTTGTATAATGGACAGTACCTGTGAATGATTTCGAGTGTGACTGCCTGACTCTCAGAGTAGAATTGAGGACCAGGGATGGTGTCTGCTTCATTCATTGAGTTATGCTAAGTGTCTTCAAAAGTCCTGAGTGGAGTAGGCACTTAATTGCTGAATGAACTCCAACCAGAACCACCCCAGGTATCTGAGTGGGTCTGGGGCCCCTCTGTGGCCCCAGAGATCCCTAATTGGCTATACCAAGGACAAGCACTAAGACCAGCTGGATGGAATCTCAAACTCCTTGACAGGGTGCTCTATAGGTAGTTTTCCAAACTCAAAAAGCCACAAGCCAGTGAAGGGAGAGGAAGACTACTTTTCATGGAGGACAGAGAAATGCTCACCAAGAACAGCCATAGCATGGCCCATGGCCCTCTCTGCAGAGCCAGCCACCAGGGAAGCACCTGGATGGCTGAGCCCATTCATCCCTGGGAGAACCCTAGGAAGTTCATCCTCCCCAACTCCACTTTTCAGAGGAGCAAACTGAGGCTCAGAGAGATGTGGTGACGTTCCCGAGACACACAGCTGGCAATGGGCAGAGTCACCACTGTGCTGAGGAGGAGGCGGGCAGTCACCTGGTAAACAGTTGGTCCAGGACCTGGTGGGAAGTGTTGAAGGCTGAGTAGTTGCACACAAAGGTGGTGACATTGCAGATGAGTCTACCCGGGAAGGCTGGGACCATGGACTCTGTCAGCTTCTCCATCACACCTGCCTGGAGGGTGCCCATTCTGCAAGCCTCATTTAGACACACAGTGGTCTCATCTTCACATTGTGTGGGACAAGGAGGGACATAGAGTCAGTGGCACCACCATGAACCACCGGGAGAATGGAGGTCTGCATCTCACCCAGGAACACCCAGCCCCTCAGGGACGTGTGCTATAGGAGGGACAGGAGCTCCCACACTGAACAAGGTTGTGGGCTTTCAAAGTACAATCTGAGTTTGGCGGGGAAGGATTCTCCAGTGAGCTCCCTCAAGGCCATTTGTTCACTGAGGAACAACAGACCTCCCTGTATGATGATCACCAGCCCAGTGAATCCTCAACAGACACCCCCTCTATAGAGATGAGAACAGAGGCTTAGGCATGCCAAGGGGCTTCTCAAGGTCCTGTGGGTCAGAACTGAGAACTGCCCCAAATGAAGGCTGACAGACCATCCCTCTAAACTGCCCGAGGCTTCATTTGCCCTCGCCCTGGAGGGAAATGTTCTGTGGGAGGCCCACCCCTCCCTAGTTTGGAGACAATGTAGAGGGCAGACATACCCTGTGAGAATCCTGTTGACTTCAAAAAGACACTGATGGTTCTTTCTCTTACATTAAAGGGAGTTTTGAGACCCTCATTATGGGGGTCCCAGGTTCAGAAAAAGGCAAAATTCAAAGATACTCACATCCTAGTGGGAAGTGAAAACCAGGCTAATGTTTCTGCTAATCTTCCTAGGAATGTGCAAAGAGGGACTTCCCACCCTCCTAGGCAGCTGGTGGGGAGGAGCGGAAGTCCAGATTCCTTTGGGAATGGGAACATGGGACACTCAGGTGGGACAGCCCTGTTAGGTACCCGGGGAAATCTCAGTTTGACTCTGGATTCTGAGCCAGCCCTGGTCATCTCAGGGTCCTGGATAGGGAGACCCATCTGTGCCCACTCTCACCTCAGACCAGCCCTGGTCATTCTTGGTGGCATGGTGCACCTGCCCCCTCTCCGGGGAGAGGAAGTAGCCGAAGTCATCTGCCAGGTCCTTGACCATCTCCCATGTGCAGCTTTGCAAAGACAGTGCCCAAGAGCCGGGCCAGGAGGTCTCAGGGGCCTGCCTCGACTTGGCCACAGGGGGAAACTCCCACAACAGATCAGGTACAGAGGGGCATCTACGTAGACCTCCAGCCAGAGAGGGAATGAGATGACACCCAGAGAGCTCAGGATTAACATACGGGTAGAGGAGCTTGGTCCCCAGCACTCACCTTCCCATCCTGGCAGCCACAACCTGGGCTAGGAACATGACACTGCCAGGCTTCCAACGCCCAGCAACCTGCTCCTGCCCAGGGTGGGTCCCTGCTCAGCCCCACCGTCCCTCACTCTACTCCCCTGACATAAAATGAGGGTCAAGGTTTGTGGGGGTCTCCAGGTGGGATCCAGCTGTGGCCTGACCTGGAGTGGCCTGTCCTGTGTTACCTGAGGGCTCCTCCTGCCAAACAGCCAGAGGTGTTGCAGGTGAGGGCTGAGCCAATGTCTACAGTGACTGAAAAGACTCTCATTAATTCTCGGCTTTCCAGAAGCCAGAGCCTCCACGAGTTGGGATACAAGACAAGAACATCCTGTTGTGTTGAGTGTCTCCACTCAAGTGAGCTCAATAGGAAGCTATGTCTAATGTGGGTGCCTGGAGTCCAGAGTGCTAAGTTCTGTTGGGGCCTGTCACCAAGGAGGTGAACACTTCTCCAAGGCTCCATTACCTGGTCCCCTTTCATCAATCACACCCACCCAAAACCCCCTCTCGGCTCTTGACTCTCACCCTCCTTGCCCATGTCATCTCCATAGCAGTAGGCAAATATCCAGCACAGCGCCCCACACAGGACCTTGAGAATGGAACCAGGGTTCCAGCTGGAGGACACACAGCTGAGTCCAGATCTCTTTTTTCCAACCAAGTCTGTGTCCTGAAAACATCATTGTGCCTCTCAGGGCCTCCTCAATCTCTCAACCTGCACAATGGGGACGATGTTAGAAATAGCTTCCCAGGGACATTGTCAGGTGTCTAAGAGATAATACCGATAACACCTGCAGGCTGGTGTCACATGGGTCTGATGCACAAACTTAGAGATGAAAGAATGACAAGAAGGGGTGGGATGTAGCGTGGAATACCTCTCAAAGCAGGCCTGGGTTCCAGCTCTGTGATCTTGGGAAAGTCACTGCCCCTCTTGGCCTTGTTTTTAGGTCTGTACCTTTAAAGGGCCGAAATTAGAGGAAAGTCAGATATTGTCATTCACTGGCATTAAAACTTCCATGGTCTCCTTTTGACTTAGAATCAGACCAAAGTGCCTCATGTTGGCCTATGTGGCGGGCAGCCTCCACAACGGGCTTGCTGTCTTCTAGTGCACATCCTTGTGCAACCTCTAAGTGGTTAGTAACTGGCTTCTGAAAAACAGAATACAGCCAAGGGAAAGGGATGTCACATCCAAGGCTCAATAAAAAAAAGCCCATGCCTTCCCTCTTATTCATTTTCTTGAGTTCCCTCCCTCTCTCCCTCCTCCTGTTTCCATCTCTCTCTCCTATCTCTGCAACTGGGGGAGCAAGTGCCCATGTTTCAGTTGCCCTATGTAGAGGCTCCATAGGAGAGAACGGAGGCCATGCCCAGCCAACAAACAGATAGGAACTCAGACTTTCAGTCCAAATGAATCCTGACGACATGTGTGTGAGTGAACTTGGGAGCAAATCCTCCCCGAGTCAAGCCTCAATAGAAATGCAGGCCCTGCTTCAGAGAGACCTTGAGGCAGAGGCACCCAGCTAAGCCGTGCCTCATTCCTGGCCCACGGAATTTGTGAGATGTTAAGTATTTTTACTCTCTAGGTGCAAGGTCTTGGAGCAATGTCATCAGAGAGGAACAGAAACTATCAGTCTACCGAGTCCCATGATCCAGCCCTGCCTGTCCCCATCTCCCCTCCTCTCTCTTCTCAGGCTCCTTCCAGCCACACTGCCACCTTCTGACCTTCTCTAGTCAAACTTACTTCTTCCTGAGTCTGCACCAGTGGTGCCTTCTCCCTGACACACTAACTCTTCCCAGACATAGGCAGGCATGGCTTACACTTATCATTCTGCTTGCAGCAAATGGCATCTCTGTGAGGCCTTTCAGAACTTCCCAGGCACAGTCTCCACTGTCAGGGATCTCACACCTGCAAGAGCATCACATTATTTCCTCCTTCTTGGTCTCATTTGGATAAAGTGAGTCCGTGAAGAAGGGCTTTCTGCTTTGGTGGAAGCAAATGCAGCTTCTTTTGGCTACCCCAGGCACATAACTGTCTCTTCTGGGCTGAATCTTTGCCATCACAAGTCCATTGTGAAAAGAAACTCTCATTCTCGCTCTTTCATGGGTCCTGGTTTCCCCAAGAACACAGAGAGCCATCCCCTCTCCTTGTAATGCAGCACCAGCCCCTATACCCACAGCCAGAAAATTGCCACCCAGCCTGAAACACTACCAGATCCTGAATTCAGTTACTGCTGAGACCATCCCATCAATTTTGTAATTCCATGGTAACTCCTGAGGCTGCCTTTCCCCTGAGACCCAACTCCCAGCCTGCCCTTGGCTTCTTAGAGGAACAGTGGGATTCCCTAGAAGGCCTCCCAGCCTGGGCAAGAAAGGTTTTGAAATGTTCTCTATGAATTTTCGAGGACAGAGGATACTGCTAGAAGTCACTTGGGTGTGTATGTGCAACAGTTTCGATGCAAATAGTATCTTTCTCAGACACAGATCCAAGAATGGGGCTACTTGATGTAACAAGAAAATGGATAAGCTGGTCCAGTGTCTTCGTGGTGTGAAGTCTTAGAGGGTAAACATCATGGTTAAGAGCAGAGAATATGGAGCAACATCTTATGTTCAAATTCCAGCTCAGTCACTTCCTAGATATTTATTGGTAGAGGGCAAAGTACTTACCTCATCGGTGCCTCAGTTTCTTCATCTGTTGTTGGCAAGAATGACAAATGTACCTAATTTGTAAGAACACGGAGAGTATTAAAGGAGTTAATGTTTGGAAAATGCTTGGAACACCTCGCACATCACAAGCACTGTAACTATATATTGTAAATAAAATTTAAAAATTCTTCTGACATTGTCTGTAAGCTCCAGAGGGTGAGGCTGGTGCCGGAATGAATATAGAAAGCACTCCATGAGGTAAGATGAATCGATGAATGAACAGCACTGTTGAGTGCATTATCAATGTCACATATGTCTTCCTATGGGCATTCCCAAGCAGAATCACACCCAACAATACCTGCTCTGTCCTGCGTTGTCTTCTTTGGTTCTATCCAGGAATCTCTGGGGCTTCTGGAACACTGGTACCCACACCCACTAAAGGTTCTCTTCTCTCTGTCACAAATGCCAGTCCTTGTCCTAACGGCTGCAGCCTACAGGGGCTGCACTCTGATCCTTTTCTTCACTTAGGGAGAAGTGTCTTGCCCAGGACTGGGCCCACACTGTGTGAGCCTTGGAGGAAATGTTCCCTGGCCGGTGGCAGGTGGAAGAGCGCTGTGAAGGAGTGGGATTTGGGGGAAATGCTCCAGGTGTTGGCAGAGGGGTGGAGTCCGAGGATTTGTCGGAAAGGACTGGCCTGCTTGGTGGAGCTTGGTGGTTAAATAGTGGTGGGGCCAGCAAGTTTCATAGGTCCTAGCATGAGACAATCAATATGATGGTCATGAAGTCAGAATAGGCCTAATGAGGTCCAAATTAATCCAATGTCATCTATTCCCCGACTGGCTCACCAATCCAAGAGTGATTCATGACAGTGATATTCATGTTCTATCATCTCCTTTTCATTGATGGGCTAGAGTAATTATTCTTTACATATCTTGTATATTTTTACAAACTAAAGGAAAGGTGAGTTTTAAAACAACCCTCCTTGGAAAAGTCTTCCTAATGTGTTGAATTACTAACAGAATGCGTCAATGGGAAACTCACAAAATATCTTGACCTTGAGTCTCCAGTTTTAGATCTTCCTGATTGGTAAATTATCTTGACTTCTGACTTCTTTCCTGAGGTTAGTCCACTTAAGACTATGTAGGAGTGCAATCCTCTTGCCACTTGAGAAGTAGTGATGGAACTCTAGGACGATGTTTGTTTTGTTTTGTAAGTATATGTGTGTGTGTCTGTGTGTGTGCATGACAGTGTTTTCTGCATCTTGCCATGTGGGTAGACAGACTCCTTTCCGTGGGAAAAATTGTCCCTCACCACTTTCTCTGGGCTTTATTTTCATGGCTTGACCAGTACTGTCCAACAGTAGAATTTAGCACTCTATCTTATGGAATTTAAAATTTTCTTAGTAGCCACATTTAAAAAAAGTAAAAATAAACAGGTGAAACTAATTTTAATAGTATATTTTAACACATTATAACCAAGATACTATCATTAGTGCATGCAATCTATATAAAAATTAATAATGAAATAGTTTATGTTCTTTTTTTCTTTTACTGGGATCTACAAATTCATTTATAGCACAGTCTCCATTTGTACATTGAATTTTTTCACATATGCAGCTTCTACATTGAGATACTATAGTGGTCACTGTTGTAACATGAGATTCGCATATCTAAGGAGCTCCCAACATATAAAAGTTTTCCATTGAATAGTCATGTCAGATGAATGATGAAAAGTCCCTAGTGGGTCTAGTAAGAAAGGAATCACTGTGGCCTCACAAGGGAAGCACACATAGAATGGTGAGGGCAGATGGAGCGTGAGGTTTTCTGAGGAGGTAGTTGGAGGTGAGGTCACAGACACATAACGTAGATGACCTTTTCTCAATGGCTCATGGCTAAGGGGAAGGAGTAGAGACAGTGACTTCTCTATGAAATATCAGGCAAGTTAAGGGACCTTGAATATGTATGAAGGAAAAAGAAATGTGGGGAGTATTTAAAACAAGCTTTGTGGAAAATCAAGAAGTAAATATGCCAACACATGAAAAGAAAGTAGAATTTCCAGGCATTAGGGATGCTTCTCAGTTGATTCAGCTGATTTTGGATTTACAATGGTAACAAAATAGCATGTTGCGTCATAAAATCCTAAGACCAGCAGCAGCTAAGTCATGGCAGATGATCATGATCTTCTGGGGTTTAAGTTTTACAAGGCAGATATGATGAGTGGTAAGAAATTTTGAATGATTCCGAAGGAATTACTGAGATCATAGGCTAAGAAATCCAGGAACGATGGGAATAAGAGAAGAGAAATTAAGCTGAGGACATGGTGATGTGGCATCACTTCTGATCTTGAGGAACCGGTATCTATTGTACGAGTGTTTGAGTAAAAATTGGTCATCAAGAATTTGTGGTGGGTTAATATGTTTCTGAATTATTTATTTTTGAACACGATCCTTTGGGTTGATGGAAATGTCTGGGACAGGGGAGTGAGTCACTCAGAGTTGGGCAGATGATAATGTCACTACTGATTCAAGCTCTAAAGCTCTAAATGAACACCAAGTGGCCAATAGGAGACAATTTTTGCAAAACATATCCCTAGCAAAGCACACATATTTATAATATCTAAAGAGCTCTTACAACCCAATAGAAAGAAAACAAGTGGCACTTCCTTGCTTACCAGGAGACAGCAGATCAGGCATGTGATGGGCACCATGAGCCCCACCAAGCAGATGAGGATGATCGCCCAGAAGGGGAGGTCTGGGGAGACAAGTGCTGGGCTGAGCCACCTCCTGTCATTCCCCCAGGGTTCCTGCTGTCCCCCCACTGTGCTCAACACACCTTGACATGGGTTGGCCAGTTTTCATCATCACCTAAGACCCTGTGTGCGTGGTTATCTTTGATGGGGCAGAGCATCGAGATATTCCCTCCCGAGTGCAGGCTGGGGCTTCCTTGAGGCTTACCAGAATTCTCAGTCAAGGCACCATTTCTGTTGGCAGAGTACCCTGGAAGTGAATAAAGTGGAAAATACACATATGTTTTACTTTTTTAAATAAAGCTTTTCAAACACACAGAAAAGTAGAACAATATTGGAAACATCCATCCCCTAGATTTAACAATGTAAACTTCAGTTAAAACAATGTTTAATCCAATGTGTAAATTACTCACACTTGCCATCCCTGCTTTCTCCCATATTTTCACTGAAATATTTTTTTCTCCCCAAAGCCCTAGTACATACTTGTTTATCTTAGTTGTAGGTCATTCTAGCTCTTCTAGGGGGGAGGCTGCCACAGCATGGCTTGATGAGTGGTGTGTAGGTCTGTGCCCAGGATCTGAACCAGTGAACCCTGGGCTGCTATGCACAAACTTAACCACTTGGCCATGGGGATGGCCCCTCACTGAAATATTAAAGTTGAGTAGACATTCTGATGTTTTACCTCATTTCAGTTTGCATCTCTGAATAATTAGGACGCTTTGCTACGTAATCCAAGGCCACTATCACACTACAATAGTGTAACAAATTAAATCAAATTTATACCTCTGGGCACAGAGGACTGAAATTGGGCCGGACCATCTTATGATGGTGGGGGGAGCATGGGTCACCAGTTGGCAAGCCGATGCGATCTCTCTAAATTTGTAAATTCCCAAACAATTTCTTCTCAGCCTGGAGACACACTTATCCCCCTCTCCTTTACCAAGTTGTTTTATATTCATATTACAGGATTCACCTACAATGGAATTTCCTTCAGGAAGCCTTTTCTGATTAACACTCCCAAGTATGGACTGGTTTGCATCAAATAATTTATAATTTTTAATTGCCTGTTCTTGTTACTGCCAACTACACCATCAACTCCAAGGGGTAGGGACACAGAGCACTCACTGTGTACCAAGGGAGGGTTGTAGGTCCCCCTACTTGTGCAACCTCTCTCCAGGCAACTGCATAGAGATGTGTTGTCCAATATGGAACAGCGAGTGCCTTTTTAAATTAAAATTAATTTTAATGAAATAATATTAAAGATCTGGTACCTCAGTAACATTAAAAATCAGTAACCATAAAAACCAGTCACAATTCCATCCTTCAAGTATTCTATAGCCACATGTGTGTATGCACTGGATAGCTCAGATATAGAACATTTCCATCATTACAGGAAGTTCTAGTGCATCGTGCTGATCTAGAGCATGACTTGGCAAACTACAGCCTGTGGGTCAAGTCAGACCCATTCCTATTTTTATACAGCCTGTGGATCAGAAAACAGGCCCATCCCACCACACCTGCCAACGTGGGTTCACACACAGCTGGAGGTCCTCACTGACCATCTGGCCAAGCGCTTTCAATGCAGAGATAATGAAGCAGGTGTCCAGAGAGGGGAGGCGACTGGCCTGAGATCACAGAGCTCTCTGGGAGAAGGCAAGTGCCTGCTATATCCCACTGGGAGTCCTTTTCTCTCCCTCAATGATGGGCAAAGCCTGGGGGACTATGCCACCTCCTGCCAGCCTGAGAAAGTTGAATTCTGTCCCATCCCCAGGCCTCCAGATTCCCAGGAAAGACCCCAGATGTGGAAATTGGAAACCCCACTCCACCCCATTGACCAGGGAGCTTTACCATCCACAGGGACACTGTTCTTGTCCAGGGCAAAGCTATGCTGGGTACCATTCTGGGTCAGCTGCAGGAATTCCTCACAGATGGCAACTCTATGTAGCCTCTGTGCCGATGGTGAGAAATTACACGGGGAGGCCACCCTAGTGTGGTTATTGCAGGGGACAGACCTGGAAGGGCACAAGGGATGAACAAGGGTGTCTGGAAGTCTACCCTGGTTCTAGATGCCCTACTTCTGGAGCCTGTTCAAGAGAACTTTCTGCAAGAATGTAAACATTTGTTTCTGCACTATCCAATAAAGTCATTATTAGCCCAATGTGGTTTTTGAGCACTTAAAATGTGGCTAAAAGGGGCTGGCTCCGTGGCCGAGTGGTTAAGTACGGGCGCTCCACCGCAGCGGCCCAGGGTTCAGATCCTGGGCGCGGACATGGCACCGCTTGTCAGGCCACGTTGAGGCGGCATCCCACATCCCACAACTAGAAGGACCTGAAACTAAGACATACAACTGTGTACAGGGGGTGGTTTGGGGAGATAAAGCAGAAAAAAAAAAAAAGATTGGCAACAGTTGTTAGTCCAGGTGCCAATCTTTAGAAAAAAAAAAATGTGGCTAACGTGTGTGAATGAGGAGCTAAATCTCTCATGTCATTTAATTTAACATAATTAATTTATACATAATAGCCACAGGGAGAACATTTCTGAAATGCTGGAGTAAGGACTTCTGAAAATCCATACAAACAATGAGAACACTGGTAAAAACAGTCAAAATAAATTTTTTCAGGAGTCCCATCCTGCTCTCACAATACCCTCAGCAACTTTGAAAACCACCAGTCTCAGAACCATGGCATCTGTGAAAACCAGCAGCCTAGCAGCCATAATGGCTTTGGAGTTCCCAAAAGACCCATCTCCACTGAATTGTCACCATCTGACCTTCCTGGTAGCTTCTTGAAAATGTCCCATTTGTCAGGGCTTGTCTTGATTTAACTCAGAGCTTACTCAGTGAGGAAAGTCTTTCCCTAGGGTACTTGCCAGAACAATCAACAGTAATTGTTTTACATTGCAGCTGCCTGGGTGAGCCATACCAGTTGAGGCAGTTGAGAGGTGAGTCAAAAACTGAAAATAAAATAAAAATTTGGAGAATGAGATGTCTTTGAGGGTTTTGAAAAGCTCCAATGTATTTGTGAGGATCTAGGAGGCCACAAGTGCGCAGGGTAGTGTGCATGCCCAGGAAAGACTGGAGAAGGGTCAGCCTCTCACCTCTAGCTGAAAGGTTGGTTTCATATCTGAAAAGCGGATTAATGTAATTCACCATACTAATAGAATAAAGGAAAAATACCACCTGATCTTGATACACATATACAAAAGAGAATTTCACAAAATACAACATCCTTTATGATTAAAAAAAATCACCCAACACATTAGGAACAGAAGGGAACTTTATCAATCTAATAAATAGCATCCTTGGAAAACTCACAGCTAACATCACACTCGATGGTGAAAGTCTGAAAATTTTCCCCAAAGACCAGGGACAAGACAAGGATGTCTGCCCTCATCGCATATATTTATCACATTGAACTAGAGGTTCTCATGAGGGTACTTAGGCAAGAAAAAGAAATAAAAGGCATCCAGGTGGAAAGGAAGATGTAAAACTATTTCCTTTTGCAGATGACTTGATATTGCATATAGAAAACCCTAAGAAAGAAAAGCAAACACGCAGTATGTGAATCATATCTGAAATAACAGGAGAAACCCTCCCTGTGGAGATTTGAGGAGGGTGTCCCTCAACCAGAACCTGGGCTGACTTGTTAGAGAGGAAATAAAATAGAACAGGTATAAGTAATGATCACTGTCAATCCAAACTCAGCATAAACACTCACCACTGACAAAGAGGCTGTCCCTGACCAGGGAGTAGAGGCCCCTCTGGGTGACACGGTGCATCAGCTGGTTCAGGTCCCAGTATTGCTGCTCTCTGTCACATGGGATCTCTGTCACACTCTCTGCCATGAGCCACAGGGTCAGGGTGGTAGGTACAGACAGCATCCACACTGGTGGCTGCCCCATCTTTCTCAGGCCCAGGGAGAGATGGATGTGTAACTCTAGAGAGACGTCCTGAATCCTCTGATAATGGGGGCCAGGAGGAGGGAGGAATAAATTGGCAGTCAGTGGGAAGACTGAAAATGGGGCAGTCACCGATAGTAGTCATGACTGGCAAATGCTCAGAAAAGGGTCTTACCTGAGGGAGATCAGTCTGCAACCCAAGCAGAAGGGGCCCAGGCTGCTCTTCTTGAACAAGGATCCAAGCTGGGGAGGAAGGAGAAGGAGGACAAGCAGGAGGAACAGGGGGTGGGGAGCAGCTGGCTGGGACTCATTCCACCAGGAGCTGTTGGGACCAGTCTCTTCAGGTGCTACTGGACATTCTCGCTGGAGTTGAATGCGACTGAGACCTTGCTCATGTCTGTTGAATACTGGAGATTGGAAATGGCGAAGTTGAGTGTGAAGGTCTTCAGGTTGTGCCCCACGGCTGCAAGAAGAGAGGAGGAGAGATGGCCATCACCGAGAGCTGGTCGGCGACCAGGTCAGAGTCCTGCATTCATTATGTGATGACTTCTCTCCCAGTGGCACCACCACCTACTAATGTGCTCATCCAAGTTGAAAACAGCATATCTGCTCTGCTCCTCCTCTCTCACCTCCCAGTAACACCAATTCCACTTGCAGAATGGTCCTTCTCTCCATCCATGTCCCAGCTCAGGTCTTATCTTTTCTCACCTGAACCAACACCCTAACATGCTTACTGAATGCCCTGTCTAAAGGGTGTTCTCTGCACTGAACATTAGAAAAATTTTTCTGAAATGAAAATCTCATTAGGAGCACTCCTGCTCTAGTACCACCCATGGCTCCCTAATGCCTTCAGTGTTAAGTTCAAGCTTCTTGACCTGGCACTCAAGGCTCTTCCAAATCTGGCTCCTGCTGACTCTTCAGCATCATTGATCCATTCACTCTGAGTTAGGCTTTGTGCTTCAGGCAAACCAAATTCCTATCAATTCTCCCCACACACTATGGTGTTTGTGTCTACTGGCCTTTGCTCATGGAATTCCCTCTGCCAGGAACACACTCCATACCCTATTTTCCTAAATAGCTCCCACTCATTCTTAAAGAGCCTAATTGGGTAAGCTTTCTCCAGAAAGCCCTTCCCCTCCAAATTATGCCAGATGCCTCACCTCAGAACATCCCACCTTGTGTTATAATAGTCTGTTAATTTCACAGGTGAACTATAAATGAGAGTGAAGGAAGGAGTGATTGTGCGAGTAGGGGGATGGGCAAGCCTGTGAATGAGATGAACCCAAAAGAAGCAGTGTGGTGAACAAGAGAGAGACTGAACAAAGAGGACAGGTAGATGGATGGACAGACAGAGAGGATACCTGGATAGACAGAGGAAGAATGGGCAAATGGTGGGTCAAAGGGAAAGCAAGAAGAATAAAGACAGGGAGGAGAAGTTGGAGAGATGGGAGGAAAGAGGATGGAAGGACAGTAGGACCATCAAGTGAACATGCAGGATGGCTGGACAGATCAACATTTGGACAGATGGTTGGATGGATAGATGGAAGGAAGGAAAGAAGAAAAGTAGGAAGGAAGGAAGGAGTCTGAGAGGAGGGATAACTGGGAAGATAACATGCCCAAGTTCAGAGGGTGCTTTAAAGGTAGGTTAAGCCTGAGGACCCCTAACTCCCAGGCTTGCGTCCACCTGACCCAGTGCTACCTGTTATTACCCGTAGAGATAAGCATATGGGTGAAAAAGGAAACCTTGACCCCTACCGCACAACACATCAAAATCAATTCCTGGACACTTAGACCAAAATGTGACAGGTAGAATAATAAAGCTTCCAGAAGATAACATAAGAAAACATCTTCATGACCACAGGGCAGCAAAAACTTCTTAAAGAAGACACACATACACACAAAAACACTCTCCCAAACAGAAAAGAATGGTAAACTGGAATTCATTAAAACTTAAAATTTCAGTTTGTCAAAAAACACATTACAAGGGAAATGACAAGCCACAGGATAGGAAGAGATTGTTCCAATTCCAATATTCAATGAAGGCTTCATATTCAGGATATATGAAAGGTTCAGTATTACAATAAGAAAAAAGACAGACAGCCCAACTGGTTCAAAATAGGCAAAAGACTTGAACAGGCACTTCACAACACAGAGTGTCCCAATGGCTAAGGCAAAGGTGCTCAAAGCACAGCTTATCAGGGAAATGACAATTCAACCACACTGAGATCTTCTACACAACCAGCAACGGTTAAAAACAGTTTTTAAATGCTGAGCTGACGGCAGCAAGTGGAGGGAGGCTGCAGAGCAACTGGAAGGCTTATACATTGCTGGTAGGAGTATGAATTCATACAACCACTTTGGAAAACTCTTGGCGGGATCTATCTATTAGAGCTGGAGATACACATACAAGGTGACTAGCAATTCCGCTCTTAGATATACACTCAACTCAGATGCAAACATACCTGAACCTAGAGAAAGGAGCAAGAATGATTACAGCACTATTCTCCATCATTCCTCCAAAGTAGAAACTACTCAAATATCCATCTACAATAGACAGGATAAATCAATTCTGGTATCTAATTCATGGTGGTTTTAAAAACTGGCCACAAATTTTTGGACACAGCCCGTAAAGATGTGAGGTTTAAGTTCCTTCCTCTTGAATCCAGGCAGGCGTGTGTCTGTTTCAATCAATAGAATAGAGTGGAAATGATGTTATGGGACTTCTGAGGGTAAGCCACTCTCAGGAAGCTCGCTCGGGGAACCCAGCCCACATGCTGGTGAGAGCTAAGGCCCCACGGAGATTCCCCTCATGGAGAATCTGCAGCCAGGGCATAGCCACCTTCACAGCAACCCCACGCTGGCGATCAGGTGATAGACTCATTCCCCAAACAGAAGAGGAACCATGCGCCCTGAAGAAAATAGACCACCAACATAAGCCCTGACACATGCCGTGTCCACTTTAAGCTTGGTGTCTCAAGACAAGGGCCCAGAATGAGGATGCAGGAGCTCATCTCCAATTCTTGTGATTTTATCCAAAACTAGAGAGACTGTGCTCACCAGGCATTTCCTAAACCTCCTCCCATCCTCAAAGGAATCTCTGCTTCTGGATACTGACATTAACTTTCTTCGGTCATTTATGATCACCAACCCCATGACAGCCTTTGGAGCAGCAATATCTGAACGCTGTCTAAACAGTGCATCGGGGACTCAAAAATTCACAGAAGCAGAGCAACTTTCAAGTAGAAGTTTCCTTCTCTTTGCACTTACCCAGAATGTTTTTACTGCTTTTTCCCCCCTTATAACATCTTATATACTTTTCTTTTTTTTTCCTCTTCTTCTACATCAGGGGTTTTTAACCTGAGATCCAAGGAACCCCTAAGTTTGAAAGGCCTTCAGGAGACCCAGGAGCACTCTGAAAGTGAGTGCATTTTACCTGTGCTGAATGTGCTTTTTTTCTCAGTAGAGGGTCTCTAAAGTCTTAAAGACGTAAATGGACAATCAGAAAATTATCAAGAAAACTTCTATAATGTCTCTCATGCTTCCCTTTGTGTTCCCCGCTAGTATCTATACACTTCCTTGCCACAGCAAACTGCTAACGAAGCATTACGATCTCCCCCCTTGTTTTCATTTCCAGACTTTCTCTTTCTACCCGCTTATAAAAAAGATGGAAGGTTTCCGCTTATGGAACTTCATTATACTGGAAGAGAGGAATAGCTTCTTGGCAATGCAATACGGGAGGGGAAAAAATCCACAAACACAAGGCTCAAATATCTTGCACTTGCTGATTCTCAGGAAAGGAACAAGCAGGATGCTTCACTCCTAAGCATTCCTTGCTGCATCCAAGAAAAATGATTTTTAAACAAACCTTCAACTATTTTCCAGATGATTTAGAAGACAACATAGATATCTTACAGCCTTTAACCCTCTACTATAAGCCATCTTAAGATGTCAAAACATCCAAGAAAAAGCCAGCCATTCTTCCATAAATTCTCTGAAATAGATGATGATTATGGACATTTCCCTCTCTCTCTTTCCTCATAGTGTTTTCTATTCCTAGATATTTTTCCTCAACATGTTCTAAACCTAACAAACTACTATTAATTTATTAAAAGACAACTTAGATGCAGTCTTTGGTATGAGATATTTCCTCCTTACATGTTCTTTGGCACCTGCACAATGTTTCATCATGGTCATGTGTGCCTTTTGGCAGGGACTCAGTCTAATTCACCTTTATATGTCTCAGTATCTATACGTGCAGACTATGTGTAGGTCCTCAAAGTACACAGAATGAATGGATAGTAAATTAATAAATGAAATTTAAGTTAAAAAGATTTATTTCAATTTCACAGTCAAATATTAAAGCCAACTAATTCTTTTTATAAGATGTATTATCTGAATTGCCTGATATAGATCGATCTGAAAATAAAAGTGTTTCTCAAATTGTGGGCTCGATCATAGTGAGAGGTGATCTAGAAGAAATTCACAGCACATTAAAGACTTCTGATAATTGCTCAGTAAAGAAGTTCATTTAACTTAATTTACCACTTTTACAAGCATTAACCTTCGGGATATCTGCTATATTTTAACTCATCCAGAGGACAAGTATTCCATAGAAACCATTAAACCATTGGGGAAATCAGGGACCAGATAATAAATATTTTATTTCATTTGAGTTATAGAGATAGCATAATTAAAAATATGATCCTGAATATCATTTCATTCTCATATCCACACTTTTTTAACAATGGAAAATGCCAGCAAGCCAACCATGCAAAAAAATTATGAAACTAAAAATCAAAAACTGCAAAACCTCACAGCTAGTCCACAGTTACAGAAAAACGGATAAAGCGATTTGAAATACTGCTTGTAATCCTTTACCTTTAAAATCATTAGTGGAGCAAAGGATCTTCTTTTTCATTCAAAGTTTTATCTTGATTCTAAGTTGTTAAGTTGGAATGGTCAACACACAAGGAGTAAAAGTAATCTTACTTTTGAATAGAATAAGAGTGATAATCATCTCATGATATTTGGGGAAAATTAAATGTCCTTGAAAATAGCAGTGGATTGAATTTAATATATTAAATAGAAAAGAAAAAGGACAAAGGAGGAATATATTGGTATGGCCAACAGTTACAGAGCAATTCCACTGAAGTTCCCACTTCACTGGGAAGGAGTCGGAGGACTGCGTCATGATATTTTAATTGGTCTTATTAATTCAAAAAAGCAAAATGCAAAAAAGAATTTTATTTGTGAGGATGCTGTGTAATGGAGCCAAGTTGGGAAATAAATGCATCACAAAATAGCATACAGAATGCAAAAAGGGGGTGCTCCAGCCTTGGCCGTCAGATTCTCCCACCTAGGCTTTCACATTGCTTCTGGGAGTGGACCTATGAGAGACTCTGTCGGCCTTCTGCTGCGAGCTATGGGCCGACTGCTGGCAAGGCACTGTCAGTGCTCCTTCTGAAAAATCACCAATGACAGCCTTTTCCTAGTCTCGCCCGTGCTCATTATCCATGTCTCCAAAACTAAACCACTTAAAACAAATAAAATGTCCTCTCATGTTTAGACCCTTAGAAAGTACACACGAGCTATAGACTACAAACCGTCCCCAGGGAAGACGTTTTGCTTGCCATATAGATTTTTCACCCGCAAAAGATGTAACAGCCAATTGGGTGGCTCTGATTTCTGTGGAATTTGGAAATGTGTGTTGCACTGCTATCTCTTTAGACTGCAGCTCATTGAAAAGAGCAGAAGTTCCAGTCAGGGCTTGTTCACACCTGAGGACTACCACTTACAAGCTGTGCAGTTCTGAGAACTAATAAATGTCTCTAAAATGCAGGTGCCTGCCTTGTTTGAAAAATCAAGCTCGTGACAGCTATCACACGTTACTCCCCTATCCATGTGAGTGTATGTACAGCACATACAGTGGAACTGAGACTTAGGAAGTGGTTTAAAAAAATGTTTCCATTCTCTTCCCTTTTAAAATCATTGTTAGCATGATATCTCTTGTTTTGAGGAAATCGTTTGCTATCTGAACTTCATAAACCAACTAGTCTATATCCACAATTATTTTGAAGATATTCCACAGAAAGTTAACCAAATGCGTGCACATACACACACACACACACACAACGCGCACACACACATACATACACATATTAACATATTGAAGCAGTGTTGGAAGTGGTTAGCAATGTGGACATTATGGGCAGAAAAAAAGAGGCATGTTTTCTCACAGCCCCTTAGTCACGGTCTGGAAACGTTCTGCTACCATTGCAATCACACTACCGACAAGTCAAGGAAAAAGATGAAGTTCAGCCTAGAAAACCACTAACATAGATCACTGTGACCAGGAGGCAAGCACTCTCTAAAAACCTGACAAATTGAACCATTTAATTCAAATGAAAACAAAGTGAGATTGTTTAATAAGAACTTGGCTCACTCTATGTCAGATGCTTCTAGAAGAATAATTCACTGAATTTACTGAATCTAAAGATAAGAGTACATTTTCAGCCGCTTTTCTTTGCCCTAAGTAAAGAGACCTGTATAGAATATGAAAATGAAAAGCATTATTAAATTCACAATGGTGCTATGTCAGAGGTCCTACTTTGGGGGAAACATGGGAGATCTTCTTTTAGGAATATAACTTTAGCGATCTTTCCTTCAGAAATATGACTAGTGAAGGCCACATTAATTTTGTGAATGTATATTTTCAGGGTATACATGTAGTTAAACGTTAATGAATGTTTTCTATTCCATGCTTCAGTAAAACGATCGGTCTGTTAGTAATGATGTCTCCGAGTGAGTTTTGTCATAGAATGAGAACACAGAGACAAGGACAGATTCTTAATTCATTTTTATATTTCTTATTAAACATATGGCAATATTCCCAAGAAGCCCCATTTACTTAGATATTACTTATAAACTATTTCAGAGTACAAAAGTAAAAGAAAGACAACAGCACAACTTTCTCATTTACTCCGATGAAATATCAAGTGTTTGTGGCATGGAAATATTGTCTTGGAGTTATAGAAAGTAACCAAAATTGTCTTCATTTCTAGACATAGATGCTTAACAGAAGGGGATCTTGTAAAGCTTTTATAAAACATAGTCTAAGCTTCCAATTGCTTTTATTGCTTATGCATGCAAAATGTTGGAAAATTTAACTGCGAAGGAGGTAATTTTAAGCATATTATAAACACACACCTTATAACATGTAACTGCCACATCATTCTTTCAAAAGTGCTCATTAGGATCTGAATACCGCGAAGATTTGATGCCCATTGTCTTCAATCATGAACAGGCTATATTCTGAAAGTAGAGATATTTCCAAATATGTCACCCACAAAATTATAACCTAATTAAATATACATTTTTTGCCTGAAATTCTTTTATTAATATTGAATAATTTTTGTAAATTGAAATATATTTGAATATTTTTGCAATCATAAATTCATAGTCCAGCAAGAAGTCCAAACACTTGTAATAATCTTTGATTCATCTCTTTCTCAAAAAATATCCCCCATATCCTGTTGTCTCCACCTTCAAAATACATCTAAAATCTTCACTGCTACCATCCTGGCCCAAGCCACCATCATCTTTGGGCTGAGTTATTACAATATTCCAACCTGTATTATTCAGGTTCGGTGTAACCACACACAGCCTTACAAATCTCAGTGATTTTCAGCAGCAAACATTCATTCTCGCTTACACCCCGTGGGTTCTCAGGGATGCCTGCAGCTCCACGGGGGTCTGCTGAACTTTCTGGGCCTAGCTTGGCTTGTTGTGGTACAGCTGGGCATGGGCTTCATATTCTTTTACTTTAATTTCAAGGAAGAAGGAACAGCTGCTGTCTGCGGCATGCTGATCTCAGGGAAGAGACAGTAGCCTGAGGACAGTGTATGGGGTGGCTGGACAAAATCTAACTGTACACAAGTGCATTTAAAGCTTCTACTGAAATGTAGCAAAAGTCACATCTGCTCATGTTTCATGGACCAAAGCAGGCTTATCACCAAGCCCAGAGTCAAGGCAATGGGGAAGTATATATTTTACTTATAGGAAGAAATTATAAAAGCACATAGTGACCAAGTAAATGTGAACAAATAATATAATCTATCATTTCTCCAAAACAGTATCTCTGCATTAACCCTTGTTATCTTTGCGATACTAACGTCCCTAGGGGATAATTCAGCCCAGCCTCCCTTCTGGTTCCCAGGGGGCCTGGGACCCATCCACAGCTCACTCTGGCTCCTGTACTCTTGGAGTGGAAGCCACCAGACCTCTTCCCTCCCATGGGAATCAAAAGATGAGTGAGAAGCAGTGTTCTGCCAGGCCCGCCACAATCACAGCCCCCATACTCTCCCTTCACCCTGTTCTGTAGAGACAGGAAGACCTCCTTCAGGACCCAAACATCACCCACTTTTTTAGGTGGTCCTGTGGTCTGTCATCCTGGTCAGAATATAGGAAGATGCCTGCAGATGTCAAAGAGGCTATGAGGACATCGCATGGGATGTATGGTGGATAGGACCTGTGGATGACGTCGAGTGTGACTGTCTGACTCTCAGACCAGAGTTGAGGCTCAGGGATGCTGTCTGCTTCATTCACTGAGTTATGCTAAGTGACTCCAGAAGTCCTGTATGTTGCAGGTGCTTAATATACATGTTCGAATGAACGAACCCCAATCAGAACCATCCTAGATATCTGAGTGGCTCTGGGGCCCCTCTGCTGCCCCAGAGACCCCTAATTGGCTACACCAAGGACAAGGACCAGGACCAGCTGGATGGCATCTCAAACTGTTTGACAGGGTGCTCTCCAGGTGCTTTTCCAAACTCAGAAAGGCCACATCCCAGTAATGGGTGAGGCAGGCTACTTTTTATGAGGAAGTACCATGAACAACCACAGCACATCCCACAGCCCTTTCTGCAGAGCCAGACACCAGGTAAGCGCCTGCCATGGCTGATCCTATGATTCCCTACCATAACATTATGGGTTCATCTTCTTACCACCCTACTTTTCAGAAGAGCAAAGTGAAGCTGAGAGAGGTACATTGACACTCCCCAGACACACAGCTAGTAGTTGGAGGCTCACCACTGCACTGTGGAGGGGGCATCACTCACCTATGGAACAGCTTGTCCAGGACCTGTTGGGTGGTGGTGAAGGCCAGATACACACATGGGAAGGTGGTGATGTAGGAGATGTTTCTATCCAGGAAGGCTGGTACCAGAGACTCTGCCACCTTCTCCATTGTGCCTGCCTTGGGGGTCAGCATCATGCACGCCTCACCGTGGGACATGACCGACTCCTTTTCACATCAAGGGGGGAAGGTGGGATATGGAGTCAGTGGCATCACCATGAGCCATGAGGAGGATTAGTGTCTGGAGCTCAGACTGGAAACTCCCACCACCCCAGGAACTTGGGCAAGAGGAGGGATATGAATGCCCACACAGATATAGATTCTAGGCTTTAAAGGTATCATTTGATTTTGGAGTGAATGATATAACTTCAAGGCATTTTGTCAGCTGAGAAACAATGGCACCTCCCTGTATTAACAGCCTGTGTTAAGAGCATTATCCCAATGAGTCATCAACAAACTTCCCCACTGTAGATATTGGGAAACAGATGGTTAAGGATTTCAAGTGGCTGCTAAAGATCACACAGGTCAGAACTGAGAATAGCACGTAGCATTGGCTTCATGACATTCCCTCTCAATTACCTTGGCCTGCTCCTGACATGAAGGGGAAGGCTCTGGGAAAACCATATTCCTGGGAGGACCCCAGGGGAGTCACCAGATTCCAGTCTGGGCTCTGGGTCCACCCCAGTCATCTTGGGGTCCTGAATGTGGAGACCCCTATGTGCCCACACTTACCCCAGACCAGTGTTGCCTGTTTTTGGTCACCTGATGCACCTGCCCCTTGTCCGGGGAGATGGAATAGTTGAGCCCATCGACCAGCTCCTCCAGGACATCCTGGGTGGAGCTCTATAAAGACAGGGCTTGTCACTGAGCCAGAAGGCATCAGGAGCCTTCCACAGTGGAAGTGGCCCTATGCTATGGCAGACCTGGCAAACTAATACAATCTATTAGGACACGCTTAAGATATTCCCTGTAGCATTGCTGAAATGGCAACAGAATTGAATCATGCCAAGGTCTAACAACATTGAAAGGCTGAATGGTGGTGGCAATTGACTTCCTTTATGGGATATTATGAAGTCACATGAGGCCACAGCTCCTGACATGACAGGCCTGCAAAGATTTGATGTGTCCTGTAAGATGACAAGTTGCAGAGAACTGTATAGAATCAATCCCGCCCCCACTCTGTGCATAAACCACCCTATCAAGTTCAATGGTTAGTAAGCCTTGGAGAAGCTCTTCAAGGAGAGTGGAGATGACTGCTCCACAGGATACCCGGGGTGGGTCATCAGAACAGTCAAAACAGTAGCCAAAGGCTAACGTACTCATGGCCTCCTGAAAAGGGAAAACAACATTGAATATTTTCTCTATTATTCCAACAAATATGTGAAGAGTGTATTTCTACCCTGCGACATAGTGGTTGGGTTACATGTGGAGGTCCAGATTCCTTTGGGAGCAGGCCTGTGGGACACTCATGTGGAAAAGCCTGGGAGGGCCCCAGGGGAGCCCCTAGATTTGACTCTGGGTTCTGGGCCCAACATCATCATCTCAGGTTCTTGGGTGTGGAGACCCCTCTGCACCTGTTCTCACCTCAGACAATCACTGGATGAGGTTGGTGGCCTGGGGCACCTGCCACTTGTCCAGGGAGTTGGAGTAATTGAACCCATTGGCCAGCTTCTCGATGATCTCCTGAGTGGAGTTCTGCAAAGACAGAGCCCAGGAGCCAGGCCAGGAGGCATCAGGGGCCTGCCTGGATATTGTCACTGTGGGACACTCCCATGAGAAATTCTGTTCCTCAATTCAGGCACAGAGGGGCATCTGCAAAGAACTCTAGTCAGGGAGGGAAGGAGATGAAACCTCTAGGACTCAGGCAACGTGAGCAGAGGAGCTCACCTTCTCATGCTGCCAGCCGTGACCTGGGGTATGAACATGACGGGCCCACCAGGCTTCTGACACCTAACAACCTGCCCAAGAAGAGCACGCCCCTCATCCCCTGCCTTCTCCCCCAACACACACACATAAACACGAAGGGAATGGGGTGTGGGCTGCTCAGGTAGGGTCACAGCTGTGGCCCACCCTGCCCTGGGCTGCCCCAGGCTGCCCTGTGTTACCTTTGGGTGCCTCCTGCCAAATGGCCAGTGGCATCAGGGATGAGGGCTGAGCCCACATCTACAGCAATAGAAAAACTTCTCACTCTGGGCTTTCTTCAGCCCAGAGCCTCTGAAAGTCTGGACACAACAGCAGAATACCTTGTTCTCTGGAATGTCTCTGGTCAAATGAGTTGGATAGGGGGCTCTGGGTACCTGGTGACCAGAGTTCTAAGTTCTGTTGGGGCCTATCACCAGGAAGTGACGTCAATTTTTCAAGATTCTGTTACCTGGTCCCCTTCCTTCAAACATACTTACCCAAAGCCACCTCCTCCCCACCACAAGCTGTTACTGCTCACCCTTCTCCCCATGTCCTCTTCCTAACTACACAATGAGCCAGCACAGCCCTAGCCACAGCTCCCTGGAAATGGAACTAGGGTCCTAGCTTCGAGGAGACATAGCCGAGTTCACACCTCCTTACCAGTTCTCTGTCCTAGAAAACTCATTGTGCCTCTCAGGGCCTCCCCAGTCTCCCAACCTGCACAATGGAGATCAGACTGGAATCTACTTCCTAGTCACCAGGTGTATGGGAGATAATATCTATAACACCTGTGGGCTGCCGTCATGTGTATCTAAGGCACAAACTTAGAGATGGGAGAATTACAAGAGGAGATAGGATGTAGCGTGGAACACCACTCAAAACAGGCCTGGGCTCCAGCAGTGTGATATTGGAACAGCCACTTCTAACTTGGCCTCATTTGAGTGTCAGAACCATGAGGGGGTTAATGAACAAAATTCAGACACTGTCATCCTCTGGATTAAAACCTTTCAATTGTTTCCTGTTTTATTTAGAGTGAGACCCAAGTGCCTCACCTCAGCCTATGAGGTGGGCAGCCTCCACAGTGATACCCAGTGACCCCACCTATGGTATACACTTCCCTTCCACATTCCTGTGCAACCACTGAGTGGTTAGTGACTGGCTTCTGACCAGTAGAATACAGCCAATGGGATGGGATGCCAGGTCTAAGTTTTAAACACAGTCTCTCACTTCCTTCTTACTCCCTCTCTTGTGTTCCACCTCTCTCTCTCCCCCTGTGTGTCTCTCTGTCTCTGTCTCT